CTACTAAATAAATAAAATGAAAATAAGTATAATGGAAATAAAATAGGATTTCAGTCGATGAATCTTGAAATAAGATATATACTACAATAAACCAACAAACAAAGCAAACTAGGCGGTTCGATCAAAATGAATTCTTGTTTTTATTAAATAGTTATGGATGACTTGACAATTTCAATTCGAATCAACTAATCAAATCTGGTATATTTGCCACATTCATTGGAGTGTATTTATGTTTCTACTTTACGAATATGATTTTTTTGGGGCATTTCTAATAATATCCTTGTTCCTATTTTGGCATTTTTCATTTCCAAAGTGTAAGCCTCGACTAGCAAAGTGTCGGATAAAGTTTCTACTTATGAATCGGGTATAGAACCAATGGGCGATGCTTGGTTACAATTTTGAATTTGGTATTATATGTTTGCTCTAGTTTTTATTATTTTTGATGTTGAAATATTTTTTATTTATCCATGGGCAATGAGTTTCGATGTATTGGTTGTATCTGTATTTTTAGAAGCTTTTATTTTGTTCTTATCTTAATTATTGGTTTAGTTTATGCATGGTGAAAGGGGGAATTAGAATGGTCTTAGCTCCTGAATATTCTGAGAATAAAAATAAAAATAGAAAAAATAAAATTGAGACAATTATGAATTCATTTAATTTCCTTTACTTGATCAAACAGCCCCAAATTCAGTTATTTCAACTACATTAAATGGTCTGTCAAATTGGTCAAGACTCTCTAATTTATGGTCGCTTCTCCATGGTACCAGTTGTTGCTTCATTGAATTTTCTTCACTAATAGACTCACACTTCGACTTTGATCATTATGGACTAGTACCAAGATCGAGTCCTAAATAAGCGGATCCAATTTTAATAAACAGAACAGTAAGAATGAAAATGGCCCCTCTTTAGTTATATTATATGAGAAAATTCCTAAACCAAAATACGTTATTACTATGGGTACCTGTACAATTACAGGCGGGTTGTTCAGTATCGATTCTTATAATACTATTTAAGAAGTCGATAAACTAATCCCGGTAGATGTATATTTGTCAGGTTTCGCACCTAAATTGAAAGCGGTTATAGATGCTATAACAAAACTTCGTAAGAAAATATTATTTGTTTGGGTTGGACTTTGGGCTTCTATGTTGGTTCAGTTTTTTATTTTAATAAATTACGGTGTGATGGACTTTATCAAAAAAATGTTAGATATAACTTGAGAGATATTGTAATACAAAAATATATACTTACGTACTGTGATATTTTTGTTGTTAGGAGGAGAAAAAGTTAAATACCAGCATAAAATATGGGCATAAGTGCCCATGACCCATTACGAATTGAATTTACCTCAACTACTCAATATTTGATCCACAAAAGAAAGATTTGGACTTTGCAAAATAAAAATTACAAAGCAGTGTCAAGTTTGAATGTACTAGATTTAGGAGTTATCCATTAGTTTCTTATAATTTTCCTGTTAGTTATTGTATAGGTCAAAATGGTATATATCATTTACATAGTAAGCAACTAGAAAGGGTAATAGGATATATTTAGAAAGATTGTGGGGCTATATTGGTCTATTATATAACAGTTAGTTGGAAAGTTGTTACCAATCATTGTTAGTTAGTTATAGGTTCTTAAAGGAGATTAGATGACTTAAGTGTTATTACATATAATAGTTCTTTACATTTGTATATACATTGATTGTCATTTTCAAAATAATATATCCTCCCTCTTCTTCTAAGATTCTATTCACTTTTATTTCATTTTCAAGAGCTAATTCTTCACTTCTAGCTACTTAGGGTTGCATATTTAAGCTTAATTAATTAAGCTTATAGCATTGGTATTAGAGTTTTACAGTCCTTGGATGGAATCATGCTGAAATCGATGTCGAGAAGTGCAGAATTGCATATGAAAATGGATGAACTCAGGGAACAGGTTCGTGTGATGGGTGAACGGCATGAGGGAGATTTAATACAGCTTCAACAAATTTTGGTAGTGATATCGACTAATAATCAAGTGCTGATGGTTTTTCCAAATGAGAATGGAGGATTGAACGTTGGGGTAACACATATCACAAGTATTATCGAGTGAATTTTCCTAAATTTGATTGTGTATATTTAAGGGGATGGATTTTCTAGTGTGAGAAATTCTTTGAGTATGACAACATCCTGGAGGATGCAAAGGTTAAAATTGCCACAATTATTTTGGAGGGGAAAGCTTTGAAGTGGCATCAAGCAATGATGAAATCACAATTAGGTTGGGGCTTGCTGAATTGATGATTACTTGAGGGCTTTACACTATCGATTCAATCACATTCTATAAGAAGATTCTATGGCTAAATTAATTGTGCTGAGGCAAAAATAGGGTGTCCAAGAATTTCTGGATTAATTTGATGAGCTCTTAAATTAGGTGGAATTGATAGAGGAGTACTCCGTTAGTTTTTTCTGGATGGATTGAAGTTAGAAATTGAGGTTCATGTGAGGATGTTAGGGCTAAGAGCTTTGCTTAAGGCCTATAGTTTGGCTCAGCTAGTTGAACAATCCTTGAGGCTACAATGGGGTTAGACTAAGGCAATGATTAAATAAACCAGATCCTTGCTACACACACCAAGTTTTTCTTGACAATCTAATCAAAGGAGTAACTTCGAAAATTAGACTAGCAGCAACACAAGTTTCAGAGAAAATGTATACTTTGATCCAAATGGCGGGCCTTGTTTGAAAGGATTAAGAAGGCTATCTAGTGCAGAGATGGATGAGAAATGAGCCAAGGGTTTATGTTACTGGTGTGATGAAAGGTACACCCCTGGACATAGTTGTAAGAAAAGTGAGCAATTGTTCATTCTTGAAATCGAGGATGAAATGGAGGAGATGGAATTGGATGACAATATCTTGCAGGAATAGAATATTGATGACTCTTCCTTCCACCTCAAATGTAAGTGGCTTCGTTGGATAGGACATCGGATTATAGAACTGTGAGGGTCAAAGGGGACATAAAAGGAAAAAAATGGTGCATGTGCTAGTAGACTCTAGGTCAAACATAATGTCATGGATTTAGGAATGCCAAGAAGTTGAGATGTAGATAGGATACAATTGCAAATTTTTTTATATACTTTGCAAATCGGTGTAAGGTCCATATCTCATTTACGAGTAAAGGAATAACTTGGAGGATGCAGGGTGTGGAGTTCAAGGCTAATATGTTGGCCATGCCTTTGGGAGGTTTTGATGTAGTTTTGAGCATACATTGGTTGATAAATCTAGAAGATATCAAATGAAATTTTAAGCAATTGAAGATGGTGTTTCAGATTGGGGGCAAAAATATTTCACTGAG